AGGAAGGTGACCAACATTCCTACAGGACAGGACACCAAAGAGCTGGAGGGAAGTGCCAGCAGGTGGCGCCATTGGCTATGAGGCTGAAAGGGGTGGCGGAGCCCCAAAAGCAGCACCAGCCCATGGAGGGGCCATCTGCAAATGTGTTACTGCTAACTTGAGGAGCCCCTCTCCAAATTCCACTCCCCAACACAATGCTCCACCACCTCTCGTAGGAACGCTGACTGCTACCTGCAGGCAGGCAGGCAAACAGCTCCCAGCAGCATTCACCGGGTTCACCCTGCATGACTTCTGGGGCTCAGGAGGAGGCCTCCGTCCACCTGCTCAGATGCAAGCCCTCCAGGCTGCCAGCCAAGCCAGGCACAAGTCACAGTCTGAGCACCTAAGGGAAATCTAGCATTAACTGGGAAATAAACTAAAAACATCCAACCCAAGGATGAGCAGTCAGCAAGCTCATCTTTATCAAAAACTGTTTTGTCAGGCATCATGTAAAAACCAAGGCTAATATGAGATTTAGAAACAATCAATTAATCCCTATTTCTTCCCTCCATTACATAGAAAAATGAGTTCCTATTATGTTCAAACTCAAACAACAGTGCTAACTTAACTTTTTAACATCACACGGAGCTCGAAGAATTGTCAACCCAACGCACTTATAATACCGTGGTGTTGAAGGGTTGGGCGTAGTTTTTGTCTGTTTTATTTCTACACGTTTCATCCAATAAAAAAAGGACATATCATGTACTGAAGTTGTCACTTTGGCACCTTTTCAAGAGTTCTAGCCAGACTAATACAGAGGAAGAAAACACAATTTTCTGATCCTCATGTACAGAAATATTAAAACTCACCAGTAATTGAAGAAATATAAATTTTTAAATATTAAATTTAAACAAGAGTCTCACACTTAGCTGGCACAGATGAAGTGAAACCTGGAACCCTGAAGGAGTCCTGAGACTCAGGAACAGTGACTAGTCTGAAGAGCAATTTGACCACCATGTACAATTTGCCATAAAAAAAAATGTTACACTCTTGTCAAAATCAACCTAAGACTATAATGTAGGTGTTGTGACCTTAAAAGCAGATCAAAGTACGAAATGTGGCCCAAATCCAATAGGCAGGCATTTTAATGTTTTTATGCCTTCCTGTCCAGGCAGATGGGAAGAAGTTTAGTTTTTCAGAAAAGAACAGATACTAACGGACTGGTTCAATCCCACTGACTGGTGAAGTCTCTTGTGCTCAGAGAGGGTATATGAATCAGGGAAGGCTCCCATGGGCTGGGAAGCCTTGCATGGGGGGCGGAGGGCAGGCAGAGGCCCTAACAGGGCAGGGCCTGTCTCTCATCACCCCTGCCACGACCCCCCAGCCAATGTGGGTCCCCCACAAGGAAACTCTTGCTTCTCTGAGACGGTTTATTTATTTTTTTAAAGATTTATTTATTTGGGGCGCCTGGGTGGCTCAGTTGGTTAATCGACTGCCTTCGGCTCAGGTCATGATCCTGGAGTCCCTGGATCGAGTCCCGCATCAGGCTCCCTGCTCAGCAGGGAGTCTGCTTCTCCCTC